TTGTGGATTTGAACCACCAACCTTGTGGTTAGCAGTCCAAGTGCTTATCCTACAGTGCCACACCAGGACCCCAACAATAAACGAAATCCTAGGGGTTCTGGTGTGGTGCCCTAGGATAAGCCCTGGACCTCACGGTCGGTTTGAATTGCAAAGTTGGAGGTTCAAACTCAGTTACTCCCCGGAAACACAATATAGGGTTGCTATGAGTTGGAACTGACTGGATGGCACTTAGCAACAGGCCTAGCCTGGAGTCCTGGTGTGGCATCATAGGATAAGCAGTGGACCACAGGGTCAGTTTGAAGCTCAAGATCAGAGCAACTGATAAGCTCCCTGGAAACACTCTGCAGTCAGAACAGAGTCGACAGCACTAAACAACAACAGGTCTAGCCTAGACCTAGCCATAGTGCCAACCCTAACCCTCACTCCTCACTCCTACCTACCCATCACCCCCCAAAACTTATGTTGTTAAAGCAATATACCTTGTATTATGCTGAGAGGCATAAAGGAGGTGGGAAAGAAAAAATTTTTTCAACTGATACCTGTCACTTGGCCAGACGATGTTCAGATGTCTATTGCAACCAAAGCATCAAGTAGCAGTCTTGAGAAACTAATGGATTTCAACACAGACAAAACACTTAGGTGTTCTTGTGAGAGCTCCTTTGCAAAGATCATATTGTATACCCCAAGAAAGTTTCCAACGTTTTACATTTCAAGTCATACTGCTCCTTTTTTTCCTATTCCCCACAGCATATGTGAAAGGAAGACAACTAAACGCAGCCGTTGATAAAAATTGGTGCTGTAGGATGAGGTACTATTTGTGGAAATTATAACAAGACTATCCTTAGGAAAGAACACACCATTTGTTGTTGGTGGTATTAAGTGCTGTCGAGTCAGTTCCAACTCATAGCAACCCCTATATAGGAAAAGCAAGCGACGGGTGGGATTGAATCATAACTTTATGGCTAGCAGTTCTGTGCTTATCCTACAGCACCACAGAAGGACACCCAGAGGTTATCAAAAATTATTCCTGGTATAGCATAGGACTGATTTGAGGGTCAGTATGAAATATCTGTATTTTTTAAAAACACATTAAAGTAGACTTTGTTTTGGCAAACTAGACTTTATTTTGGCATCCTCATATCCTAAAAATCTAGACCTATTATAGAAATTGGAGTCCTGGTGTGGCGCTACAGGATAAGCACTGGACCACCAAGTAAGTTTGAATCACAAGGTCGATGGTTCAAACTCACCAGCCACTCCTCAGAAACCCTATGCAGGTTTCCTATGAGTTGGAACCGTCTCAGTGGCACTTAACAACACTACAGAAATTAGAAGATAATTCACTTTCTCACGTTACAATGATATCCCAAACATGTTATATAAGAACACAGCAAATTCTAAAATAAAGTAATAGTACTACAATATGATACACTAAAACATTCAGCTGGAAAGACCTACTCAAAAATGACAACTATGAAAAGCACACAAAGATGCAGATGGATTGGTATCTTTCCAAACATATCTGAGGGAAACATTAATGGCTCTGTAGGTTAAGCACTGGGCTACAAACCATAAAGTTGACTGTGCAAGCCCACCAGCCTCTCCGAAAGAGAAGGATGAGGTTTTCGGATTCTACAAAGATGTACAGCATAGGAAACCCTATACAGGACAAAGATGTAGTCTCAGCTGTCCTATACAGGGTCACTTAATAAAAAGTAGATCTGAATTATAGATCATTCCATTTACACTTTAGTTTACTTTCATTCAAATAGTGAGGGATGCTCTGCTCTATAAAAAAGGGGAGGGGAAGGGAGGGCAGGGACAGTGATAAGATTAGGCAGTCTTACAATAATTGTTTTAACAACTGTTCCCCTCTACATTTAAAGACAAGAAAAATTGAAAGTGACTAACAGTTATAGCAGCACATAAGCACCAATTTCAAAATTCTTTACAGATGCTAAATGGGTTACCCATTGACATTGCAAACTTGTGAATTATGCATGATAGAGACATGTATTTAAAAAGCTTATACTACTACTACAATCGTGTATCTATGTTATCACAAAACAAGCTTCAGTTTTCAATTAGTAAGATCCTCATTAAGTATTGCCAACAGACTTCATATCCTAAGTTCATAAGGCCCAATGGTGGACTTGAAAATGTCAGTCCTGGTTTCTTCATACTGTGCTTTACACCTATGTTTCTCAAAGTCAAAAACTGTATCTGGGAAGGATGATAATTAATAAAGAATAGCCCAAAAAAACAGTCATGACAAAGCCTGTGGAGAAGGGTTCTACTCTGACACACAAAGGGTTACCATGAATGGACTTAACGTCAACTGGCTTTGTTGTTATTTTAACATTTACTGAGCTCCAGAACACATATTGTGATAAATTCTTTGCATGTACTATCTCATTTAATCTTTAATAATCTTAAAAGTTAGAGGCTGTAACTACCCCCATTTTAAATGAAAAGGTACAAATAATTTACCCAAGAGTGGCAAAGGTTACACTTGAATCCAGAGCATAAAACCAAGGTAACTAGAGTTGAGAAATAATTGAGGGAGATCATAAGAATATTAACTCCAATGCAGAAAGGCATACTCTGCTTACTCTTGTGGTTGCTAAGTGCCATCAAGGCGCTTCCAACTCATAGCAACCATCCATAGTGTTTTCGAGCAGGGGCTGGTGGGCTTGAACCAACAACCTTACAGTTAGCAGTCCAGTGCTTATCCTACAGTGCCACACCAAAACTCCACACTGCTTACTAGTGACAGATATTTCTTTTCCTGACACAGTAGAATGGTTTTCAACCCTTGCTCACATTAGAACCACCTGTGGGATTTTGGTTTTTCATTTTCTTTTGTTTTTAGAAATAGCAGTGCCTGGACGCCTCTTCTCAATGTGCCTAATGGCTCAGTGGGTTAAGCACTAGACAGTTAACTGCAAGGTTGGCAGTTTACACTCACCAACCACTGCTCTAGAGAAAGATGAAACTCTTTGCTCCTATGCAGATTTACAGTCTCAGAAATCTTCTGTAGGGTCTCTATGCGTTGGAATCAACTGCATAGCAGTGGATGGGTGGGACCCCTCCTCTCTCAGATATCTAGTCCTCACCTGGCTGGGATTGTGTACTAGCAAGTACTGATTTCCCAAAGTTCCCCAGGTGATTCTAACAGGCAGCTAAAATTGAGAACCATTAATAATTCTCTCCCACTTCACTAATTTCTCCAAATACAATGCCATTTACTGATCACCTCTTTGGTTCTGAGCACTTCGCTAATTATTTTCCGTTTACCCACCAGAGTACTTGGTTTTTCTTCACCTTAAACAAAGGAAATACTGCAAATGTAACTGTACCCTTTTAAATAACAAAATGTTGCCAACTTTTCAGGTATAGGAGAGCAGGGGGAAAGTGTTAACACTGAAAGGTCTGAAAATCCCTTCTTTAAGCACTCATACTCCTGAGGTTTAAAACAATGCAGAAAGGTCAGAAGAGTCACACTAAAATGGAAATGACAGGTAAGGGCACTAAAAAAAGTTAACTTGCATATGTTAATGAAAGGCTTAGTATCCATAATGTTTGATTACATGTATTAAATTCAACTGATGGTGAGAGTTAAAACACTTATCAAGTATTGTGGAGATAAATCTTATTGTCGTGCCATGGTGCTGTGAATTACTGCAGTGTTTTGCCCTGTCAGTTACCTGAATATAAACTAACAGGTGATAAAGAAATCAAAGCAATGCATTAACATCCCCAAATATCAACATGGCTTTTAAAAAAAAAAGGCACAAGGATTTTGCTGATAGTCATATGAGCAGTCTTACTGTTTCCCAAAGTCAATTTCCAGCACATCCCACTCACTCTATATCAAAAATATAATGAAAGTGCTCCAGATCCTCTCCGACTTTCTGCCCCCCCCCTTTTTTTAACCTAAACAACAACAAAAAAAAAAGGTGGCACGTGGTAATGTCTGCCAAGTAGGGAAAGTTTGATCTGTGATCTGAACAAGAGTCCTAACTAACGTGAAAAGAGTAGGCACAACTCAAGCTGGACAAAACTCTGGGCTTCTCAGAGGAACATTACAAAACTTCCTGCTTCCGGACAACTCATAATTTGGGCCAAGTCTACGCATTCCTTTATTAGTCATGACCCTTCAGAAAACTTTTATGCTCTATTGTTTTGGAGATCACTGCACTTCTACACGCTGCTCCCCCCAGACTGACAGGAAAGCTTATCAAACCAAGAAGCCATCCTGCAGTTCAGGCCCCAGGAGGGACTCAATTTACAGAAGAGCCTCCAGAACCTGAGCAGAGTGTGACCACCACGTGGAGTTGTGTTTTTTTTTTTAAGTAGTTGTTTTGTTTTTGTTTTTTTTTTAAAAAATCAGTAGATGTTTCTACATAATTAATTATATGTTCATCATCTATATAGTGTATCATCAACAATTATAGGAACTGGGCATTCGATCCACAGAAACGAACTCTGAAGAAAGGGGTCTGTGTGAAAAACGTTCCTGATGGTCAATGACAAGTGAACCTCACTCCTGATTGTCACCGGGGTGGACATGGCCCGGATCCGGCCTCTGGAGCCGTATGTCACTAAGCTGAACAGGAGACAAGGCGAGAGCCACAGGGTAACTGATAAGAAAACAAGGGGGGAGGCACCTCCAGAATACGTGTGCCCTGCACCCAGAGGCAGCAGGGGAGCTGGTAGAGCAGACCCCAAAGAAAGCCCTTCGCTCCAGGGATCCTTCACACTGCCCAGGCCTATGGAGCCTGCCCAAAGGGGGTGTGGGGCAGGAAGGGCAGTCTGCCCCCCCTCCCCCCCCTTGAGAGACCGAAGCAGATGAAAATAAAGCAAGTTCTCACTTCCTGGTCCCCGTCTCTTCCCGAATGCAAGCAGACACTGGGGAGAAACTGGGCTCCCGAGGTGTAAGCGCGGCCCACCCTCGCCGTGCACCTCCCGTCCTCGCCCTCACCCTCCTCGGGCCTTACACGGTGACGTGACCGGAGCCGCGGACCACCACCGGGTCCGGAGAGTACTTGAGCAGCTGCTCCTCCAGGGCCCGCTCCTCGTCCTCCTCCTCCTCGTAGATCTCGTCGAAATCCGCCATCCTGCGCCTCCGAGGCCCCCTGCCCACAAGGGCCTGACTCCAGGAGCTGGGGCGGGGGTCCCGGCTGGCGCGGCGGCAGGGGCTGAACGGAGTTGCTGCCGCCGGCTCCGAGGCCGCTGAGTTTGCTATAGGTTGTCTCTAAGCTCGGCTACAGAGAAGATGAGGTTCCGGCTGCCGCCGCCATTACCATCAGCAATAACAACAACACAATGTCAACATCCGCCCTCCCCAGGCAGACACCTCCACCAGCACTACCGCCGCCGCAGCAGCAGGAGCAGCAACTCAGGGAACCACAGCAACAGCCTGAGCCACCCGCAGCGCGAGCAGCCGGCTACGGCATCGCGAGACTTTCCGGGAGTGCGACCGAGCGCGTGGGCGCAGGGCGGGCGCGCGCACGTGGCGACCTCGCGCGCTCCCAGGCCTCCTTCCTTCCTCCACTCCCACCGCCAAAGACGCCCCGGGCACGCGCCACTGGCCTCCAACCCTGGGTCGTGGGCGGGGAAGGGGCTGACTGCAAACTGGAAGCATGACCTTGTCTCCCAGGACATACAGTTCCTTAGAGTAATCTCTAGCCAAAACAAACAATGAAAAATAAAAGCCCTAGTTGGAATGAGAATTTATCTTGCCTATGATAGTCACTACAGCGAAGAGTCTAATCTCGATTTCATCAGATTTATTTAGTCTGTGAATCAGGGTCTCTACTCTCCCAGTTTGAAAGTCAAATTGACACATTGCAAAACTACAGGATTTTATAAAACATCTCCAAATTCTTATACCTCAAACCATTGTTCTTGTGTACCCCCTAGTTGGTTGATACTCATAGTGACCCCTTGCACACCAGAAAGAAAAAATGCCCAGTCCGGTGCCATCCTTACAATTATTATGTTTGAGCCCCTATTCCAATACATCTCCTTGGGAATCTTGTTCATTTTTGCTGACCATCCACGTTACCAAACATGATGATCTTCTCCAGGGACTGGTTCTTCCTTATAACATCAAAAGTATAAGAACCATGTCTCACCATCCTGACTTCTAAGGAGCATTCTAGCTGTGTTTCTTCCAACACAGATTTGTTTGTTCTCTTGGCAGTCCATGGCACTTTTAATATTCGTCTCCAACACCATAATTCAAATGCATCAGTTCTTCTATGATGTTCCTTACTCATTGTCCGTCTCTGACATGCATATGAGGACATTGAAAATAGGATGGTTTGGGCCAGGCTCACCTTAGTCCTCAAACTGTTTTTTTGTTGTTGTCGTTGTTAACTTTTTATTGTGAATTTAGTGAAAGTTTGCAGATATCATAATCACCTTTACATTCAACAAATTATACACTTTGTTTCATCTCATAGTGACTATATATAATTCCCTACCTGCAACAACTAGTGGTTACGAATCGGGCTGCGAACCTTAAGGTCAGCGGTTCGAAACTACCAGGTGCTCCGCGGGAGAAAGATGAGGCTTTCTACTCCCGTAAAGATTTACACCCTCGGAAACCCTATACAGGGTCGCTATGGGTCGGAACCGACTCGATGGCACATAACAACAACAACAACAACAAACCTGCAACAACAGTTATCCTATTTCCTGCCTGTGGTTCCCTATTTGCAGCTTATATTTCACAAATGAGCAAAGCAATTTTATGTACACATACAAAATTTAAAAATGTATATTCATTTAAATGTCCAAAGGGCACATTCCGCAAGTCAGTCTCCTGCCTGCAGACAAACAGCTTTACTTAGTCCATGAGCCTAGAGCCCGCAGCTGTTCTGTCTCTCCATGCCACCATCTCTGCTATCACTGATTTTCTAGCTAGCTATCTCATACTCCACTCATACTCTTCCTTCTTGATGGTATTGGGATCATCTGTTCCTGAAATGAAAGATTAACCACCACCAAGGAGCTCTGGTAGTGTAGTGATTACGCATTGGGCGCCAACCTCAAGGTCAGCAGTTCAAAACTACCAGGGGTTCCGTGGGAGAAAGATGAGGCTTTCTGCTCCTGTAAAAATGTATAGCCTTGGAAGCCCTGTGCAGGGTCACTATGAGTCAGAACCAACTCCACGGTAGTTAACAACAACGACAACAACCTCTTTTAGTTACACATCTTCTACAATTACAGCTGTGACTATCACAATACTAACAATTACTCATATTTAAATCATCAAATCTTATTGACATGTTTCCCCCATCCCCTTTCACCAGATCCATCTGGAAAAGAGGGAAACTATTTAGTGTCAATTCTACCTTACCTCCCTCATTCTGAAACTAAGTGTACTCATGAAAGCATGTAAGACAGCCACTTCATGCCTTTATGCCCCTCCTGAATTTTAAATAGTCAATGTCTAAATTGCCCATCCCTATCAACCCAGTACACTGAGGATACAACCTTGTCCCTTGCTATGAAGAATCCTTCCATTCTGGTTGGAATTTTGAGCAACTGCATCCATAAGCAAAAGTCCAGTTCATCAAATTGTAGCAATTTGCACTTGTTTACAGTATCAAACACCTTGATCTTCATCTGGTTTTATTCTGGTCAGCTAGCCATCCAGGCTAGGTCAAATTGGGCACTAGCTGCAAGTTTTGAGAGTTCCCACACACCTCCCTACACTTCAGACTAGCTGGCTGCTTCACTCTCAGCCCTAGTCCCCAGATTAAAGTCACTGTATGTCAATGGAACATAGTCAAACTTAGCCCATGTTTCCATTACTGCATTTTCCCCACGTCCATTCACAAGTAGACCCAGGTGGTGGCCAGCAAACATAGACTTCCCAAGGATTCCTTTAAGTTTCAGTCCTAGAAGGGGGTTTCTCTGATGGACTGACTTTTCTTGCCTTGATGCCTCCAAAGCAAACAGCTTGTTTGTAATTCAAACAAACAATCCTTTTTTTTTTTTTTCTGCAAATCTTTCTTTCAGTAAGAAAATTCTGTTTTCCTAACAGTTCTGGGTTGTTCTGCATAAACTGTTATTTTTTATCTTGAACACTTTAAAG